TCCTTCCCTTCTCCCCTCCCCTTGGATAGAGTCTCACTAGACTGGAACTAGGCTGACCTCAAGGTCATGGCAATCCTCCTGCCTCAGCTTCCCGAGAGCTGGAGTTACAGGCATGAGCACAACAGCTGGGCGTGGTGGCACACACCTTTAATCCCAGCACTTGGGAGGCAGAAGCAGGCAGATCTCTGAATTCAAGGCCAGCCTGGTCTACATAGTGAGTTCCAGGCTAGTTGGGGCTACAGAGAGACCCTGTCTCAAAAAGACCAAAAAAAAAAAAAACACAAAACCAACAACAACAAAAACACCAGGCACGAACACCACAGGAGGGTCTCATTATGTAGTCCAGGCTGGTTTTGAACTGGAGATCCTCCTATCCCAGCCTCCCAAGCACAGGGATCACAGGCATTCACTGCCGTCCCCAGCCTTGCTTTTCTTTTCTTTTGCTTGACCTGTTGGGCTCACTGTGATTGACCACTTGTGATGAAAACCCAGGGCCAAAGACAGGGCAGCTGGCTTCTCACCATGAGTGGCCTCCATGGTGGCAGCCAACAGGAGCTTCATCCCTCTCTGATACAGCTAGCTTTAATCTTTGCCAGACATACATAAAGCCACAATTCGTGTGTGTGCATGCACATACATGCTCCTAGAGTAGGAACATATCTCATTCATCTCTGGGTTCCCAGGATCAACCCAGAGTCTGACACTTTGGTCTCCATCCTTGTTGGATGAATATGAATGCAGTAGGGTTCAAATGCCAAACATATTTGACTCACTACCTGATTCAGAGCACAATGCCAACAAACTGTCTATGTCTCTGAAGCCCAGGCTTCGGCGTGCGTGTGTGTATGTGTGTGTGTGTGTGTGTGTGTGTGTGTGTGTGTGTGTGTATGTGACAAAAAGATGTACCAATCAACAAAATAAAAATTGTAGGCACAAGCCAGGTATGGTGGTGCCAAATACCATCCTAAACTTGGGAGGCTGAGGCAGGAAGAATTTGAGTCTGTGCTATAATCAGGTTGGAGGCCCTAATAGCTACATATATAACAAGGTCATGTCTCAAGAAGAAGGAGAAGAATTAGTAATAGGGTGTAGGTAGGTCCTAAGAAGTTGAGCTACGGCAATGTGGCAGAGACAGAAAAGAAGCTGTCCTTGCTTGGGTAGGTAAACAGGGTAGACTTTTCTAAGGGGTCATCTGAGTTCAGACCTGGAGGGTGAAAAGTGCCAGTTATTGGGGACTTGGGGGATGAGGAGAAAACCACAACCCAGGGTCTATTAGACCCTACAGGGCTCCCAGAATTGAAACTACAGCAATGGCCAGCGGGCCTCCATTGGAGAGAAGGGAAATCATAGGGCACACAGAAGGGACCAAGATCCTTACCTGTGAGCAGAGCAGCCAGCACAAGGAATTTCATCTTGAGTGAGGAAATGCACTGAAGTGACCAGTGGTGGCTTCCCTTTTTGTAGTCTGGGCCCTGCACTCCCAAGATAAGACTGTTTGCTTTGCTCTTAGCAGCTCTGGCCTTGAGCCTATTGGGGGCACAACCCCAAGAGATTTGTTTGCAAGGGATCACTAGAAATAATGTCATGGATTTGTGGTTGGCATTTCTTCACAAAAGAGATGGTTTCTGGAGTTTTCAGACCCTGGAGTCTTTTTATCTCTCTTTTTCTTTTTTGAGACCAAGGCTGATGTAGCTAGGGCCGGCCTAGAACTCACTAGGTATGAAGGAAGGCTTTGAACTCTTCTGTGATTCTTTTTCTTTTCTTTCTTTCCTTCCTTCCTTTCCTTTCCTTCCTTCCTTCCTTCCTTCCTTCCTTCCTTCCTTCCTTCCTTCCTTCCTTCCTTCCTTCCTTCCTTCCTTCTTTCCTTCCCTTCCTTTCCACAAAGTCTCATGTAACCCAGGTTAATCCTTCACCTTCTATGTAGTCAAGGATGACCTTGAACTCCTGATCTTCCCAAGTGCTGCAGATCCTGGCTCAGACTTTGGACCTTGTTTTTTTCTTTTGTCTTTTTGAATCAGGGTCTCCCTGTGGCCCCAGCTGTCCTGGAACTCATTATGTAGACCAGGCTAGCCTTGAACTCACCGAGATCTGCCTACCTCTGCCTCCCAAGTGCTGAGACTACAGGCATGCATCACCACGCCTGGCTTGGACTTTGTTTTTAAGATTTATTTTTAATTTTTACTTATTTATATGTGGAGGATGTTATATGCATATTAGTACCAGTACCCATGGAGGCCAGAGAGGGCATCAGATCCCCTGAAGCTCGAGCTACAGGTGATTGTGAGCAGTCTAATGTGGCTGCTGGGGAACTTGGGTCCTCTGTGAGAGCTGTATATTCTCATTCTCTCTTTCTCTCTCTCTCTCTTTCTCTCTCTCTCGCCTTTTTGAGACAGAGTCTCCCTGTAGCCCCAGCTGTCCTGGAACTTGCTATGTAGACCTGGCTGGCCTTGAACTCACAGAGATCTGCCTGCCTCTGCTGGAAGCTGTATAACTCTCTTAACTGCTAAGCCATCTCTCCAGCCCACCCTTGAACTTTTCTGTCCCTCCTGCCTTTACCTCCCAAGTCCAAAAATCCCAGGCATGTCCCCCAACCTCTAGTTTATATGGTGCTGGGGATCAAGCCCAGAGCTTCATGCTTACTAAGCAAGTGTTTTGCTCTCTGAGCCACATCACCAGCCCTGACCTTGGAATCTTGTTGTCCACCCTCCATTGGTCCTCAGCTTCAAGGGGTAGGGGCATCTAACTGACAGAAGAGATGATTGCTGCCTTTGTGTTGTGTCAAATGCTTGGGTCTGTGCTGTGGGTGTCATTGAATGGTTCCATCTGTCACATACTTTGTAGACCTGGAAACAGGTTCAGAGAGGTGATATAACTTGCCTAAGGTCACATAGCTAGCAAATGGCAGGACAGGGTTGGCTCAGGTTTAAGTCTGTCTGATTCTAAGACATATATTTTTTTTCCCACTATGCAAACATGACTTTCCTTTCCCACTCCTCAGTGCAGATTTGTGTGAAAATTTTGAGCTGTGGGGTTCAAAAGGTGTGGGTGAGACTTTTAGAACTGTGAAGAGTTTCAGGATGGTCATATCAAATGTGTCTGTGACATTAACATTTTTTACATTTGGGGATTGGAGAGATGGCTCAGTGGTTAAGAACACAGACTGCTCTTGCAGAGGACTTGGGTTCAATTCCAGGCTAATAACTCTCTCAAAAAGTAAGGTGTAGGCCAGGTGTGGTAGCAGATGCCTTTAAACTCAACATTTGGGGGGCAGAGGCAGGTGGTTCTCTGTGAGTTCCAGGCCAGCCTAGTCTACATAGCAAGTTCAAAATTTTTAAAAAAGGCACAGAGCAACTGAGGAAGATACCTGATGTCAACCTCTGGCTTTCACATGCATGTGCATGTGTATATGCGTACACAAATACGTACACCACCCATATGTGTATGCATATACACATACATGCTGGGCGCCCTCCCCCACACAAAGTACATTCAGGCAGGTGTAATAGTACATGCCTGTAATCTCAGCACTCTAGGATGATGGAGACAGGAGATCAGAAGATGTAGCTCAATTAGTAGAGTGCTTGCCTAAGTATGCACAAAGCCCTGGGTTCAATCCACAGCACCCCATAAACTAGGCATGATGGCAAATGCTTGTAATCTCAGCACATGGGTGGTGGAGATAGGGAATTCAAAGCCATCCTTGGATATATAGAGAGTTTGAGGCCAGCTTGGGATACAACTTGAGACCCTGTCTTTAAAAAACAAAAGTAAGGAAATATGAATAAACTTGCATGTCAATTTGGTAATACTACTATTGTCAATATAGTAATGTTGGTTCATTAATTGTAAAATGTATACCATACTAAATGTAGGATATTGATTAATAAGGGAAACTGCCAGGGGAGGGGAGGGGTATGTGGAAACTCTCTGCTCAATACAAATAAGTAAATTGAGTAGATAAGATAAATATAATAAAATAACAAGTTCCTTCCTACTTCACAGAGTTGTTGTCCAGATCACATAAGAGCTCATTAGGTAGCCAGGCCTGATGGCACAGGCCTGTGAGTCCCAGATACTTGGGGACTGAGGCAGGAGGATTGAGAGTTCAAGGCCTGCCTAGGCTACAGAGTGAATTCAAACTCCAGCCTTAAACTGGGCATGGTGGTGCACGCCTTTAATCCCAGCACTCCAGAGGCAGAGGCAGGGGCAGGGGCAGGGGCAGGGGCAGGGGCAAGCTGATCTCAGTGAGATCCAGGACAGCCTGGGCTACAAAGCAAGTTCCTACAGGGAGACCCTGTCTCAAACCCCTCTCCCTGCAAAAAAAAAACCAAAGAAACTCAGTCTTGATAACTTAGTGAGACTAGGCACACACGTGGTACACATACATGCATGCAGGAAAAATATTCATATACATAAAATAAAAATAAATAAGTCTTTAAAAATTTATAAATTAATGTAGACTCTGGGAGATAGTTAAAACTTTTCTCTTTATTCATGTGTATTGTGAGTGCCTGTATGTGTGTGGGCTTGTAGTGTGCATATGCATATGTGCCTGTGTACAGGTGCCTGCAGAGGCCAGAAGAGGTCTTCTGGTCCCCTGAAGCTGGAGTTACAGGTGGTTGTGAACTGCCAAATGTGGGTGCTGGCAACTGAATTTGGGTCCTCTGGAAGAGCAGGAAGTGTTCTTTCTTAACTGCTGAACCATCTATCCAGCTCCACAAACTCCATTTTTATATTATTTTATTATTATTGGTGTGTATATGATATGTGGGGGGGGGCAAGTGTATGGAGGTCAGAAGACAACTTTGTGGAGTCAGTACTCTCTTCCCTCCTTTATGTAGGCTCCAGGGATCAAACTCAGGTCATCAGATTTGCATCACCATGCAGTAAGCACCTCTACCATTACTGGCTACACTGTCTTGCCAGCCCACAAACTCCATTTTAAAGACTTATTTTTATTATTTTTAAAAATTATGTGTATGTGTGGATATGTGCATGTGTGTGTAGGCGTTCACGGAGGCCAGAAGTGTCTGATCCCCTAGGGCTGGAGTTACAGGTAATTTTGAGCTGCCTGAGACAGGGTCTCCCTGTAGCCCTAGCTGGCCTGGAACTCAGTATGTTGACCAGGCTGGCCTTGAACTCACAGAGATCTGTCTGTCTCTGCCTTCTGAGTGCTGAGATTAAAAGCGTGTACCAGCATGCCCGGCTGTAGCAAATGTCCTCAATCATCTGAGCCATCTGTCCAGCTCCCACCAATTCCATTTTAGAACTGGTGGTTTAGCTAAATGGTAGAGCACTTTCCTAGCAGGTGCAGGGCCCTCCCTGGGTTCCATCTCCAGCATTGCAAATAACAACAAACCCTCCATTTTACAGAGAAAGTAATGGAGGCTGAGAGCGGTTGAGTGACTTTCCCCATGTCACACAGTAGGACCACAGGGTGAATGATATCTGCTGCGTGTGGTACCACAGGAACACCTCATGACAGTGGTTCTGCTGGCAGCCTTCCACCAGGACACTCTGGACAGATTCTCATGTGCTAGGGTTCAGAAAGAGACCCTGGAATGGGGAGGAGAGCTGCTTTCTATACAGAAAGGGTCATGTGAAGTGATAGTGTCCAATCTCTGTAGTCCCTGTGAAGAATGGACCTGGTGGGTCACTGGGTACCTCACCAAGCTCTTGCACTCTTCACGCCTTGACTTCTGCTGACCCAGCAGGTGTGTGAAGCACCGCCTCTCCCAGTCTGGAAAAAAGAGACCCAATCTCTAGTGGAAACAACCCCTAACGATAGATAGCTTCTTGACTCCTTCAGCATGCCCACACTTCAGCAAGGTCACATCTGCTAGGCCCTCAAAGGATTAATGTTCCTGTTTCCTGGAAATATTTGAAAGCAGCCGCTTGCTGTCATTTGCCAAGTGCTTCTGTAGACTTGGCACAGTAGGCACTGAGCTTTATGTACATTACCCTCCAGCCTAGCAACACGTCTTCTGACATAGAATTATTGTTTCAGTGTTATCATCTTCCTCATTGGACAGATGATGAAACAGGCTCAGAGAGGTTAGAGAATGTGCTCAGAGTCACACAGCCTGAAAGTGGTGGAGATGGAGATGCTGTACGAGTGTTCTATGCCTGTAATTCCAGCACTTGTGAAGCTGAGGCAGAATTATGAGTTCAAGGCCAACCTGATTTACAGAGGGAGCTTTGTCAAAAAACAATCAATCAATCAATCAATCAATCAATCAATCAATCAATCAAGTGGGGGGAGGGACCTGGGAAAATGGCTCTGTAAATTAAGTGCTTGCCTCGAAAGATCAGAGTTCACATTCTTAGAACATAGGTAAATGCTGGGAGGTCATGGCAGCCTGCCTGTAATTCCAGCTCACAGGAATTGGAGAAAGGGATCCTCCCACCTCTG